ATCATAGCAGTAGATACCCAAAACGGACCATATGTTTTTCATCGCACAGCTGTACTCATGCGAAAGTGGCAGCAGCAACAAAGGGCTAAATTTTGAGCTTCGTTCAAGCTTTAACAAGACAAAAAACAACTTTGCACGAAAGTACTCCTACTTGGCGCGCTTTCGCAGGAGGAAAAGGGTGTTACTACATTAGTCACAGAAACGTTCACGTCGATGAGGATAAACAACAGCAGACGAATTTTATTATAACTATTACAATGTAATATTTGATGATTACAGAAATAGTGCAACTGCGAACAAGTATAAGAGATCAAATATCTTAAGCATCTAACTTTCAAAAGAGGAACTGTATTCGAAATTTCAAAAGAGAAGCCTAAAGATCGTAGTACTGCTAACCATTCATCCGTTATCAATCAATTTCACTGGGACTAGTAAGATCTTCATCACTACTATTATAATTCACCGACAGTCAGCGCCGTCATCTTTATGACTAGACGTGACGACCACTGCCAAGCCAATGATAACGATGGAGATGAAGATCACTGTGACTACTTCTGAAGTAGCGAGGGCGATCACTTTCATTATCATCATTATCACTGCGATCATTAGATTTATCATCATATGACACTACTTATTATGCCACTGGCAAAGTGTAGACTGCGACGATGGCGAAGCCTCACAAACGCTTGAGTCTCTCACTGTCATCACTGTTTTAGCCATAATGAGTAAGATCGTTAACATGATGGTCGAGATCATAAATCATATCACCGTAATCATGATCACACCTGCCTACCGTCATAGTCATTATGATGCTGATAATAACGGCAGTCAGCAACGAACCTGTTAATAACATCAAGGAAGAAAGGTAAAAATAATGTTTCAGCCTGAAGGTATATGGTATACTCTTAATCACGATCACAATCAACAGCAGGACAGTTAACATCACCGTCACTGGATCGATAAACACCATCATCATAACTATGAATAGAACAGTAAAGGCGATTAAAATGATGGGAGTAATGAGGATAATAATGACAAACAAATTATCTGTCGATTATCAGTTGCGCCTCTGCGAGTAACACAGCCTATCATGACATTATTATGAGCATGACTGTTACGAGCATCACCCCTTCTACGGATAAAGTGCGATAATAATATATCGTCGTAGGAATTACAAATATCATAATTTTCGCAACTGCCATTAACAACAGCATGACGGTCATCATCATCACCGTGAGCATCAGTCGTGCCATCTTCGCCCTTATCATATGACCATAACTATAATCATACTGATATGTTGATGATAACAGTAATAATGACATTAGTAAAGACGAACGATTGCCCGCTTCCTCAATTTCGCAGACAAGATCGCGATACTACCTTTACCAGTACAATAGTAATAGTATCTTTTTTCAACCGGTGTGAAGTTTACTGTGCTTCAATCTTTGTCATCAGTACCGACATAACAGCTAAGAGGCAAAATTATAATTCTGACTTCAATGACGGAAAAAGATGGTGTAATGAAATGAAAATAAAACTGAAAAGCTCTGTCGCTTGTCAATTTCGCAGTGATAAATAAAACCTCCATCCCAATCACAGTTATTTAACTGTGATGACGTTAGTCACCATGCTAAGGCTATGATATCTCTGATAAATGATATGCTTCTATCTTCAACTCCATGCGCACCAACTTATCACTACTTTCGGTATCAACATGAGAACCAAAAAATTCAATGTCAAGGTTTTCTACATTCCTACATGCATTTGCACAGCCATATGCAAAAAAACGATAGCGATCACAGAGACACTAACATGGGTATCCGCTGAAGATGACTGCAAAGAAATCAAATTATCTTCGGCCTTTTCTTGATCATTACGCTCATCATAGCAACTTGCAGCCGAGTGACAGCGACGGTGAATATCACTATGACGGTGATGTGCGGATGTCGAATATCGTGACAATCATGAACGCGAGCCATAAGGATGTTTACATACTTCATATTTATCAATTTATAGCTTACTGCCAGTCTGACAATCAACAGCGTGATAGTAAGCATATGATAAGCTTCATTTTTATCACCAGAGGTGTCATAATATGAGAAAGCAAAAGATAAGCACTGTAAAGATGATTTCAAGATACCGAGTTTCGTCGGACAGCCATGACAATACACCATCCACGTCGTTCATATTCTTATCAGTTTTCTAGGTTTTCATTGTTGCATGATAATCAAACGTATAGATATTGGGTGGCATTTGTGACATTACTCATTTTTCATTATTTCAATCAAAATGACCAGTGGCAATGATGATAATTATGACTGTCGTGATTATGTCAAGTTGTGGGCTTGACCGCGAT